CTTAGCTTATTAATTATGTACTATACATGAAACATTTTTCTAATTTATTATATCATCTCTTGCGATTGTTATTATTAATTATTTATGTTTTGTTATTAATGTTACTAATTATTGTTACTATTATCATATATAATAATAATAATAATTATTATTATTATTATTATTATTATTATTATTATTATTATTATTATTATTATTTTTAATAATAATATTGCAGCCAAAAAAAAAAAACAACAGGTCAATATTAGTGCTGCCAAAAAAAAAAAAAAAACAGGTCAATATTAGTGCTGCCAAAAAAAAAAAAAACAATACAGGTCATTGGCAACGGTTAACCGTTGCCAATGTTTTAAAATAAAAAAAAAAAAAAAAAAGCGCGCCATGTTTTAAAATGCGGCATGGTCAATGGCAACGGTTAACCGTTGCCAATTGCTTGAGTTGGCAACGGTTTTGAACCGTTGCCAATTTTTTTGGGATTTGGCAACCCTCAAATACTCAACGGTTCAAAACCGTTGCCTTTGGGGGGTTTGAACCGTTGCCAATTTGTTGGTTTCGTGTAGTGTTGATTGATACATGTCATTGCCAAAAGAATTTATGACTTAAAGATGCAAGTGATTTTAAATACTGTTGGATTAATTATCTCATACCCCATATGCAAGGATTAGGGGGAGATAGTAATTATTTCATTTTTTTATGTAATCCTTGCACATGAATAATAATATATATGAATAATAAGATTCATTGATGGTCAGTTTGGTACATATATTAGCTTTAGTATCAATGATTTGTTTAATAAGGGTGACCACAAAATTATATAAGATTCAGATCAAAGATGGATACGAATAGATTTCATTGGCTATATGCCTATATACCAACTGTAAATGCTCTAATTAAAATTAGTGTTCCAAAAGGACAACATTAGTTATTGATGAACCTAAATCACGCCTAAAGCGTTGTAGTTAAACCCAATAGGTTCCAAAAACATGAATCTTCAAACAGCAAATGGGCAATTATTTGCAATAGCAAATTTAAGGAAGTGATACATTCTCATAGGTCTCTATAAGAGACTATTTTTAGTAAAATGGATATGTACCATGATTATATATATTTAATACTCTATGAGAGTATAGAATGTTCAACAACCTTAAGCATGTATCAAGATTATAATCAAAAGCACTCCAGCAGAGTATGAGTTAATATTAGATCAAATATTAGTCGATTGTCTTGTCAATTGTATAAAGAAACACATGTTGGTGTTCTAATATCACATCATACTCATGGCCATGCATAAATTAAGTTTAATAAAGTGATCACTAGTGTTGGAAAACTTACTAAAGTTCAATTTCAGAGATGTGATTGGATGTGATAATTAAATTAGGCCACCCGGGTTCAATAAATACCCGTTATGGAAACCTGAAGTTTCATTTGATAATGTGCTGACACTATCTCAAGGTTAGATATATGAAAGGAATTGAATGGCAAGACATAACATTGAGATTGAGCTATAATAATTTGTGTTGATGAAAATTTCAAGAGTTAATAGGTTTTGATTTTCATATATACGAAAGAGCAATAGGTGACCAGAAGTTCACCAGAATAACTTATATATTATTGTCAAGTATTAGGAGACCAGAAGCTCACCAAATACACTATTTAAGTCTTCAAAGATCTAGAAGATCATCACCTAGTAGAATTACAAGCAAGTGATTTACGCTTGTATACTAATTCTTTTGATTGGGGCTATTATATGTCAGCATATAAGAAACAGGAGAAGAAAGAAAAACATACAACTGCACAACACATGTCTCCCCATTGACATTGATCTCCAAAAGAGACAATATTATGGAAAATGTAATAATAAATACATATGATATGTAAAGTTAATGAATAAATGATTCTTCATTGAAATAGTTCTCCAGAAGAGATAAATCTTGTTTAAATCAAATCTTCTGAGAGATAAATTTTGATTGTGATCCTCCCAATGAAATGAATTTTAATGCAAATTTATATACTAAGTTGGTATAGAATTAGACGCCCCTATAAAAGAGATATTTTACCAACATAGGGGGAGAAGAAACAACAAAAGTTGGAAAAATCGAAAAAATAAAAAAAAATTTGATGATCCCTATAATGGTAGTTTGAAATATTATATGCCAACTTTTGTCTATATACTATCAAGATATGTTGTACATTTATGATTTGATTTGTATTTAGTTATGACTCAGGTTGCATAGCATTGAAGATACATTTTGGTCATATTAAATTATATGTATAAATTGAGATAAAATTTTGCCAATTATACATGAATCACTACACCTGAAGTGTGGGTTGTATGATCGGTTACAAAATATAGATATGATATGTGGCAAGATAGTGCAGTTAACACTTTTAATAGTGTAATAGTATATAAATACCATAGTGTATAAATACCCCAAAAGTGGTATAGATATCTGAATTATTACAATAGATTGCCTATGATGTAAGAAAAATTATGATGGTACCAATAAAAATATACTCAGATATCATTGTCAAAATAGCATGCAAATTAAAATTGTACCCTGAGGAATTATATGATGATACCGGTATATGATGGAACCGACAAATAATGCATATGCATGATAGAATGGACTAGTGAATAAGGGATCTGGCATATATGTCCATTTTGATGTCGACATAATGATAATCATCACAAGTTTATCACAGACCAGAAGTCCAATGAAATATGGATTTTTAAATCCACACTGTACAATGTCTTGCATTATTTTGAGTCCTATGTATGTTCATATGCATGTGTGAGTCTAGGTTAATGTATTATTCATTGCATATATCGAAAGTTGTTAGATGCATTACTCATTGTATATTTTGTTTTCTATATCTCATATTGCTACATTAGTTTCTATACAATAATTGTGGTACATGTGAATATTTGTTCAAAAAAATATAGTAAGGCGTATTTGTAACTTTGATGGAAAATTACAAAGAAATATATATATTCCAATGGGCTTATAGTTGTGATGAAATTATTAATGACGTCGAGTTTATAGCATGTTATGAATCATGTAAGAATAGTTCCTGAAGAACTCATGTACGACGTATTTATATATCCAGCCCTACAAATTTTATATTTTGAATATTGTAATTATATCAAACTTTTGGTCTATGTGACTATACTATTGACATCTCACCTGAAGTTTGAGCATATGAGAATTAGTGAGATCGAGAATTACTATTTGTATTTGCATGAGAATTATCGATCGTGTCATTTATGAAACTTCTAATATAAAGAATATCAACGGGATACTTATGCGTGAGACTGTTTTCTTATGGTCCAGAAGAACCATGATCAACGTATATAATTACATGTTTTATATTATTATTTCATACAAAATTGAAAAACAACATTACTAATATCATGTATTGCCATATAATTATTAAAGAATGTTTGATCAAATAATGATCATCAATTTCTATTAATCACGACCTCCAGAAGAAGGTATAAGTTTAATGGTTAAGGCAACTTTAAACGGAGATTTCGAATGAAATGTGGACAAACACTTGTATTATTGTTATAAGTATGGTGTATAAAGACTTACTTGTTCGCGTAAAGATTTGAAGATTTGGGAGGATCGAAAATCAAGAAATGATATTGTTCTGCATCATGTGAGAAGACACTCAACTATATTGGATTCATTGCATTAGAAGGCCTCAAGTTATGTATTCATCAGGGGGAGAAATTACGCGCTGCACTCTTTTTCCCTTAATCATGATTTTGTCCCACATTAGGTTTTCCTGGTAAGGTTTTTAACGAGGCAGCATTTCGAGCATATTACGAAGAATGTTGTACTCTTTTTCCTTCATTAGGTTTTTATCCCACAGGGTTTTTCCTAATAAGGTTTTAACGAGGCACGGTCTTCGATAATGGACATCCAAGGGGGAGTGTTATGGAATATTTGTGGATACCCATTATCCTCGTATCTTTCCGGAATATTCTAGATGTAGGGTTTATATTCTTATCCAACCAAACCCTAACTATATTGTATGTATATATATATATATACCCCATCCTATGGAATAAAGATATACAGATTAATTCTCTCTCCATCTCTCATATTTTCTCCTTATTTCACAACAATTTATAAAGTTTTAAAAAAATGAAATGAATTATACAAATTATTTATCATGCATCGCGCATATTACATCCTGTATTATATAAAAAAACCGTACATCAACTGGGTTTCACCATTGTAGTTAGATTAAACTAGAGATTAATTTTGTAAAATATTTCAATTGTTATAGGTAGGGGAAAAATAGGTCAAGTTGACATCGATTTAGAATCACACTAGTTTAGGTCCCGTGCCACGCACGGTAATTTAAAAAAATAATACCAATTTTTAATATAATAGGTTATTTTACAAAAAATTAAAAAAAAATTAACAAATATACACAATACTTTGATGTGAATTCTAATTAATAATGAACAACTATTTTTATTAGGGAAAAAATATGAATACTTTCTTGAAGTAAATTAAAAATATGTCGCAAATTATGTTAATATTTTCTACTATAGTCATAAATGTTTGTGAGGAAAGGTATATCAAATCTTTTTTATTTAAAGTAATTATCTTTATTATTTACTTATATAAGAAACTATTTTTGTATAAGATTTTATACTATAATTAAACTTTTTTGAAAAAAAAAAAAAAAACAGCTAAATACATTCCAGGAGATGACACATGTTATTGTTGGTGTATGTTTTATTATATAGTTATTATATATATTATGATTGATACTTTTCAAGTTGGATAAAAATGTTTGGGATGAAATCAAGTTATGGGCTGGGTCACCACGAGTCATTATTTGGGTCAAATTGGTCAATGAGTTTTGGGTCTAATCAATCATCGATTAAATTAATAACCAATATGTCTTCTGGATTATCAATTTGGTTAAATGTATTTCATGAATAATCTTAATATCTTATTGAATAATCTAGTCAAAGGAGAAAAGACAAAATAAATAGATAATTAAATGTTAACCAAAAAAAACAAGATTAAGGAATGCTAATAGCTAAGCATATATATCTATAAAAATACTATATTATAGATCATAGAAAAGAGAAGCATACAATAACCTATTCCATGTATCTGGAACTCCGGGAAGGCACCAATGACTACAATCAGCATGAGCTGAAAGAACATCCTTATATACTTTTGTAAGATTCTTCCAATCTTTATACCTATACATTGATGGATGTGCATCTATTCTGTACTCAGATAATTTTGTAATGTTCAAATATTTCACTTGTGTTTTTCTCTTCTCTTTTATAACCTTCTCTGTAATTTCAACCAAAGAATTTGGGTAGTATGATATGTATGATTCATCCTTTATAGGTTGAGTTTTCTTGTAACACCATTGATCTGATTTCGACGATTTATGTTCGGTTGAAATACTCCTGAAAAACACAGTTGTTTTCTTTGGATCCACATTTTCTTCAACCCATGTTTGCCATGTTCTCATGCCTTTTTCATAAGCTAACTCTAGTTCCATGTCTTCGATTAATTTTCCATCGTATTCAAGCAACTCATACCTGAAAAGGTGTACCCGTTGTTTGTTTACTTCTCTTGTACACAAAATTAAATGTTATCTACTCCCTCCGTCCCCGAAACTTCGACCCTTATGGCCTAATTTTAATCCCAAAATATTCATCCCATTTGCATTTTAATACCCTTTAATTTGCAATAATATTTGTGCAAAATTAGCTTCCCCATGCAAATTTTGCTTTTTCTATATACTTTTATTACTTTCTCTCTCTACTTTTTTGCAATTCCAATGTAAATTTCCCTTTTCAATGTATTTTTCTTAGTTTCCCCATACACTCTTACACTTCCAATTTAACTTCTTAATACCCGCGAAATCAACCCAAAAAGGTCGAAGTTTCGGGGACGGAGGGAGTACTTCTTTGTTTGTCATTAAATAATTTACCACACTTTAATGTTAACTAAGTTGTTCTAAAACAATTAGCTCAATATAGAAACAATAAGATCCTTTCTACCTACAAAAATCTTGTAATTTCTCTTTAAATCTTAGCTTGTCTAACTAACAAAATTGTCCCAAATCTTCCTTGAATAGGGTTCACCTTAATATACTCCCTTTGTTTTCAAATACTTGCAACACTTATATTTATGAGCAGTTTTGTGAGAACAAACAATAATACATGAAAAATGATATTTTAATGTACACGGGAGGTTAATGAGGGTATTTTAACAATATAAGTTTGTAGAACAGAATAAAATAAAATTTTAGTGCAAGTGGGATTAAAGTGAGAGAGAAACAATAAAATATTAGAAAGTCCATACTAAAACAAGAAAATTGTTACAATTACTCGGAAATGACTCAGATCCAAAAGCAAATATTTTGAGTATATATCAAGGATGTGAGGAAGTAATAACATTTTGATTTCTTTCCTTTATTTGTCATTTTCTATCACTCTATGTAATTATATATATGGTCTCAAGATTCTCAACTATCTTTTACCTCATTAGAATTATAATAAACAATATCAACCAATCAACCATCTTACTCCAGTACTCTTTGAAGACAATGTGTTCGAGAGAAATGTGAAATTTTTTTGTAAGACGGAGTAGTCAAATTGAAAAGCTTATTATTTACTGTATTAACCTTAATTATATCTTACGTGATGTAGCTATCTAGTGGGAAATTAATACGATGTGGTAAATACGAACAAGTAATGAACAAGAAATTAATACAACTATATAATTACGTACCTTTTGTAAGTTCCAGTTTGAGCCCACCAATGACCTGAGTTGAATACCATGATATCAGCCCCTGGCCAATGTTTTGAGTTGGGTGAAAGTTTATCGAGGACTAGAACTTTTTTCCCGCTTTTATGGTTTAGGTTGAAGTCAACTAGAAATGGGCTCCAATAAAACTCAACTGTGAAGTTGTAATCCTGCATGGAAAACCATAATACTTAATCATTTGTGGTGAAAATAATATATGCATTTATATCTTAATATATATCATTCTCCATCTACTTGGTGAAAATAATATATGATTTATATCTTAATATTTATCATTCTCCATCTACTAGAAAGTACTTGTACAGTTAAAACTGTAATTTGAACTACTAATGTTATAATCTTGTTGAAATTAATAGATGCGTATATTATACCTTTGCTGTTAAGGTAATCACTGGAATGCTGCTATTGTCTTTTACAACAGCTCGAGTCAAAGGAATTGAGGAGTAGAGGGTGCAAGCGAGAGACTCCCACATATTTCTATTTAGTGAATCTCCTACTAAGATCACCCTCTTGTTCCTCAACCTTTCCACCATATCCGTTCCGTTAAGCCTAAAGAAATTAAAGAGCGCATAATCATGTTAATGTTAAATTTTGTTGTTTCTTAATACATACAATCATACTGTATTGTAAAATGATGATACATTCCTATGGCTCGAATTAATAACAACATACTAGACTTCAACTAATTTGAATTTAAGTCAAGTCAAACGAACTACCCCAACAAATGATGATACATTCCTATGGCTCGAAAAAACTCGAAATCACTTTAGGTAAAACAATTCCCTTACTAGCGATTCTTTGTTGCTAATATAGTTCATCATGCAATAATATATAAGAATAAGATTAATTATCTATGCATACTTACAATGGTATCGAACAATCTCTAGCCTCCCATTTCCAATGCTCGTAAGCAAGATCTGGCCTTCCATTCTTCTTGCAGCTCATCTTCTCCTCAACAAACGGACATTTGAGCGGATCATAGGTCGGACTTTCTTCCGGCTTATACACCCATCTTCCATCAAATATATTACATTTCTTCTCAATGTGTAATTGTTTTCCCCTAAAATTTGGTACGTCTATTGAACTAATACTTATATTAAAAGGCCCTATAATATTTCTAATAGCTAAAAGATTCATATTATAGTTGTTTTGTTGCATGAAAAGAAGAAGAATAAGCCAGCCAACTAAGCTTCCAAGCCCGAAGAGCCTCCATGTGTCGGTGATGGAAGACTTCATCTCCATATGACTTAGAAAAGAAATTGATCAATTTAGTTTATGTTTAAAATAGATTTAGTTTAGTATGTATGTATGGAATTTTATTGTTTAGAATAATCATAATAGGTCAACTTTGTAGCTGTCCACGAAATTACTGAGTACGAAATATATTATTGCATCAATTCCAAAATCATTATTACTATGTCTAATCTCTATCTTCCCAATTAAAGACTAAACATAATTTTATTAATTAATATACTTTAAATGTATGATTATTGGGTCATTTTCATGCTATTCTATTATAATTAATTACCTAGTTTAAATATAAAAACTTTGGTCGACAAACTATTTATGAGTTAAGCTAAACATAATTTTTTTTTTTTTTTAATTTTTTATATCACCCTTTGGGTACTCATGCCCAAAATCCGGCAAGTTAACTCCCCTTTAACTCTGCCGTTAACCATAGTTGGAAACCCATGATACCTTGAAAGAGAACGGTGATAGAAAAGTGCAGGTATCACTATATCCATAACAAAAGGAAACAACACCTTTGATTACTCCTTTTGGCAACCAATTCTTACAAGCATTTACAAAACAAATTTTATTATCCGATCACAAATTTTCATATTATAAATTCTTGTCTATATGGGTGCATTGTGCATAAAAAGTTTAGCTAATATATACGAGGTAAAATTAAAAACCTTAAATAAAACATTATCAAGGTGTTCATGCATGAAAATCAATGAAAGCATATCAGATTTGTCTTCGGGCAGGAGCATGGTCAGATTTAGGAATGCAAATTGATAGAGTTGACCACTTAAAATTTTTATTCAAGCCCTTTTTCCTGTTTTTCTTACCCATCAATTTTAATTGGGCCAGTTTTAATTTTGTGCGGTTGATTGTTGGCATATGAGCACCAGAAAGTGATTGTTTAGGAGTAAAAAAATGGTGAAGGAGATGGTTGGATATTGGATTGTTAAGGGGAGAGAAATTTTCATACTGGACTAATGAGGTTTGGTGAAGAAAAAATTACAGAGTAGCTAATTTTCCAGATTTGTAGGTGTTGAACATTGTTTTCTATTTTTAGTTTCTAAAGAAAAAAAAAATCAGTAAAAAGAAATAAATATCTGTTTTGTGAAATATGTTGATGTGTAATAATTGTTAACCAAGGGCCCTAAGTTTTTAATCCAAGATACTAAATTTTTAGGGGAATTATTTATTTTTGGCCGGATTTAAGGGTTGAGTACCCAAAGGGTGAAAAAAAAAACCTTAATACCTAAACGGTGAAAAAATAGAAACTTAAGGGGCCTTTTATTAACTTAACTCACTATTTATCCCTCAAATCTCAGAAAACAAGAATTATAATAACAAGTTGTTATATATTAATTGTTGTACTACAAAACATAGATTAGTATTATTACATAAGTGTCTTGAGCTAGGAATAATTATAAGGAAAAATTGTACCAAATAATACGACCTTTGCTCCGTCCGCTAAAAACAAGTTCACCTTTTGTTTATTGCAGAATAATACGACCTTTAGGGGTACTCTGCTTTAAACAAGTAAAAAAAATGGCAACCTACAACTAATAAGTCAGCAGGTTAAAAAAAATTGGTTGACCACCATTTCCCTCCCAAATTGCACAGGTGGCTTGCACAGGTGGCAATTAATGACTCCAACTAGCCAAACTTGAATGCTCTAAGTGTCGTACTATTGCGCCATAAATGAAGCTCACCTAAATTCGTACTGCTAATTGGGGAAGACAACAGAAGCTATTGCGCCGGAAAACACCCTGACATTGGTTAATTGCGTCGGAATTCGCCTGGAGTTGCTTAATTTAAGGTACGAACTGACCACTGTTGATGTTTTATTTCCAATTTTTCTGGGTTTTGTGGAATTATTCAATTACGCATGTTAATTTAAATGTGTGAAAGTAATTTGTGTTTGATTATGTGTGAAAGTAATTTGTGTTTGATTATGTGTGAAAGTAATTTGTGTTTGATTATGCTTGTTGTATCATTATTTGGTTGCGTCGAAGGTGTTTGCTTTATTGTAGTTCAACTGTAATTGGATAGGTGAATTTAGGTGTTTTGGGGTTTTCGTTGATGCGATTTAATTTTGCTCTGTGTGTGTGATGTTGTTGGTTATTGTGGTTGATCTTAGGTGACAATGAGCAAGAATAGCTTATTTGAGAATGTGAGTTTGAGGTATTGGCATGGAGGCAACTTTAAAATTATTGGTAATGGAGAGTTAGTGTATATGGGTGGTAAAGGAAGGACATTTCAGGTTTCTCCTGATGAATTATGTTATTGGGAGCTACTTGAATTGGGAACGAAATGTAGGGATTATATTGACATTGCTGGCCTATATTATTTAGTTCCTGGGAAGTCTTTAGCAGATGGGTTAAGAAAGATAGCAAGGGATGCAGAAGTATTAGAAATGGGAGAGATAGTGATGAAGCATATGAGTATTGATGTGTACGTGTTGCATAGTGATAAAGAGCCACAAGTGTCAGCAGAAAATCCTAGTACTTCTATTAGCCAATCAAGCTCAGAACACATCACCAGACCAATTTCAGAAAATATCCCACCTCCCAAACCAACTAGACCTAAAAAATTAACTCCCAAAAAGGGTCCACAGTCACTAAAGTTGGGCCCACCTAGAAGAAGCCCCAGAAAACACATGGCATCCAATGTAACAGCATCTTCTTCTTTGGCTGGTCCTACTTTAACCAAAAAAGTTGGCTCAAAAGCATCTTCTTCATCCTTTGCTGATAAAAACACTTTGACCCAACCATCAAACCCTATTTCCAACTTAGAACCTCCACAACAAACCCTTAACCAAGAACCAGCAAATCCTTCACATGGTTGTGGTGAGAACACAAATTCAGGCCCTGAGTATGATTTGGAAGACAACATGCCAGAAAGTCCACTGACCATACAGGAACTATGTGGTTTTAGTACTGATGATGAGGATGAATCAGATCCTGAGTTTGTGCCTGATGAGGAGGATGAAGAGGAAGGAATTGATGTTGAGCTGGAGGTAGAAGATGATGACTTTGAGGTTGATGAGCATCTTGACAGGATTGATTTAGTCACTGGTGAGTCAGACAACAGTGATGAGGAGGTTGAACAAGCTAGACAGAGAGTTCAAAATTGCAACAAAAAGATCCTTGAAATAGCAAGCCAACTTCAAAGAGAGGTATGTGAAGGGAGATTTGGAGGTCTAAAAACAGTAGAGGGTGGGCAACAAAGAGCTGCTGAAACAAGTGGTGCTGCTGAAACATCTGCTCCTGGTGACACAGCTGGTGCTGGTGCTGGTGACACATCTGGTGCTGGTGGTTATTACAGTGAGTATGAAAACAGTGAAGATGAGATTCACACCCCTGAGAATAGTGATGATGAAAATGCTGGAGCAAGAAGGAAGGGAAAGAGAGGTATGCTTGTGAGTGGTGGGACTAATTTTTCTAGATTCACTTGGGTAGTAGGTTAGAGATTTGCCAATAGGAGTGAGTTTAAACAGGCTGTTGCTAGGTATGCAATTATGCAGGGCAGGGATTTGAGCTTTGTTATGAGTAACAAGAAAAGACAGCAGCATGTAGGAGTAAGATGTGTAGAAGGGTGTCCTTTTTTCTGTATGGTGCATGGCATTCAAGAAATGCTACATTCTTGGTGAAAACAGTGGATGGCAGTCACACATGTCATAGGAGTATGAAAAAAACGGACAATTCAAATCAACTTGGGCTGCTAGAGAAATGTTGGAGATTTTTAAAGCTAGGCCTCACTGGCCAGCTAAGGAAATAATTGAAGCTATTAGGAGAGCTTATTTGATTGTGGTGAGTAGGGACTTTGCATACAAAGTCAAATTTCATGCACATAGAATGCTCCATGGCTCCATTAGGGAGCACTATATGAAAGTTGAGAGGTATATCCAAGTTGTGAAGGATTCTAGCCCTGGAACAAGTATTGATTTGGTGGTGGATACTTCCAACCAGACAAATCCACCTGTTTTCCATAGACTCTACACCTGTTTTGAAGGAGTAAAGCAGGGTTGGAAGGAAGGCTGCAGAAAAGTCATATGTGTAGATGCTGCTTTCTTAAAGACCTTTCTTGGTGGCCAAATTCTGAGTGCAGTTGGCAGAGATCCTAATGAACAGATGTACCCAATAGCATGGGCTGCAGCAGAAGGTGAAAACAACTCATCTTGGACATGGTTTATCACCCAATTGCAAAGTGATTTGGAGCTAGGTGATGGCACTGGGGTTGCAGTTATATCAGATGAGCACCAGGTAAACACTAAACCATACTTGCTTTTGTTTGATATTCTGTATGTTTATAAGAAGTTCTTGGTGGCCAAATTTTTCACCTTATGTATGAACTAGTTCAGTAGTGTTGATTGGTGTGTTTAAGTATGCACTTTTTGTTTTTGGTTTTACAAGGCTATTGTACATGCTGTTGCTGCTGTCCTACCAAATGCTGAACATCGTCACTGTGCTAGACACATTTTTTCACTGTGGCATAAATCCTTTAGAGGAGATGAAATGAAACTACATTTCTGGAAAATTGCTAAATCCTACAACTTGGCAGATTATAATGAGTGTTTAGAGGAGTTGAGAGAGTTAAATCCAGATGCAGTCATAGCTTTCACTTCATATAACCCAAGACTATTCTGTAGAGCTTACTTGAATTCTGAAATTAAGACAGATGCAATCACATCTAACATGGCTGAAACATTCAACTCATACATTATTAATGCCAGAACCAAGCATTTGATATATATGTTAGAGGACATCAGAGTGGCTTTGATGCAAAGGTTAGTGACTAAAAGACAAGAAATGCAGAAGTCAACCTTTGTTCTTTGTCCTACAATCCATGCCATGTTAGAAAAGGAAAAAAGTAAGGCTGCATTGTGTGATGTTTTACCTTCTTCAGATACAGTGTTCAATGTGAAGTATTTCCTTGATCAACTCAAGGTAGATTTAGAGGCCAGAAAGTGCACATGTAGGAAATGGGACATGTTAGGGGTTCCATGTTGTCATGTCATAGCATGTATATTCTTTAAGAACAAGGATGCTGAAACTTTTGTGGATGATTGTTATAAAAAGGATGTATATTTGAGGGTTTATGGTGGTTTTATCCC